GCAGTTCCTGAGCTCAGCGCGGTAGTATTGCTTCTCTGCTATCGGAGGGAATGTACACTTATATACATMTGTATGTATGTATGTACTAAAAGTAGTCTCCAACTGTTAACCTGAGTCAYTTCATCTTCAAGGCTCTATATTTTATAAAGTATTCAATGAAACTTTTTCTGGGAATTTGAGATTCTATGCAGATTTCTATAACCTATGAATTRGAACGTCTTAAGATTTCCAAAGCATTGAAAGAATTCTGTTCTGAATTAGTTAATGAGACATTTCGTTCTCGATTTAATTCCATCGTTTGGCTGAGATGAATATTTTAAGTTACTCTAAATATTAAAGAYAATAAAGTATTGTGGTTTCAAAATTTTTCAGCATGTACATAAATTGTACTCTCTCTATCTCCCCCTATCTCTCTCTCAATCTGACCTGCATAGTTTTCTGGTTTGATATTTGTATTTTATGCAGAATTTGGAGAAATTACGAATACAAAAACAATAACAAAATGTTATATGTATATATCTAAATATCTTAGTGTTATTTTGAGTGAATGCAATCTGAGGTCAGTGCGGATGACTTGGAATTCCGGGAAAAATGAAAGAGCTAATGCAAACGTACATATGTACGGACATACATAAATACACACAYATATATATACATATGTATGTCTGTCTATATCGCCTATAACCGCAATTTGCATGTTTATTTAATAAATTCTGAAAATGCATAAATATTTGTTTACACACACTCATGCACTTGTAGCTACTACGATTATTTGTATTGGCTGGCGTGACAAAGTGTTGAAATAATAAAATTCGAGATTTTATTTCAACGCCGAGCATTTGACTTAAACTCGTTAAACAACAATGAATGGCGGCAAATTTGAATTATTTTATATGATTTATACGCGGAATGGCGTTGGCAAACAATTAAAGTGAATTCATAAATTTATGCTTCACTCGCGCGCACTCTCGCTTAGTTCTTAGCTACGTTTCGCATTGCAATGATGCCATGAGTGCTGTTCTGTTGGCGTTTTTTCCGTTTGACTAATATTATTTATATTTGCGCGTTGATTGGAATTGAATTTATTTTACGTTTAATGCTTGTGATGACATTTGGCTTGATGCAGGTGATGGCAAAATTATTTTTATAAATAAAAGAGTATAAAATTAGGTTTATTACTGAATACGACGGCTCAACTGATTATGGAGTCAAACTAGTTACGAATGAAAAGCACAAATATTAATTAAATAAATTAATAATT